AGTTTGATTTTAATGTGTCTGAGTGTGAATCTCTCTGAGTTCATCCTACCTTGAGTTTTTCGAGCTTCTTAGATTATTTATATTCATGTCTTTCATCAAATTTGGGAATGTTTTACCCATTATTTCTTCAGATAGTCTCTCTTCCCCCTTGATCTCTCTCTTCTTGAACTCCCGCAGTATGTTTGTTGGTCTGCTCAATGATGGCCCACAAGTCTCTTTAGACTCTGGTTACTATTCTTCAGTCTTTCTGTTCTCAGACTTAATTTATATCATCCTATCTTCAGGTTTCCTAATTCTTCTGCCTGCTCACATTTGCTTTAGTGAATTTTTCATTTCAGTTACTTTACTTTTCAGCTTCAGAATTTCCTTTTGGTTTCTCCTTAGGTTTTCTGTCTTTTATTGCTTTCTCCATTTTGTTCATACATTATTTTCTTAACTTTGTGCACCTTGTCTTTTAGTTCTTTGGATATCTTTACAGTGGTTGCTTTAAATCATTTGTCTAATAGATATGCCACCAGCTCTTTTTGAGAGACGGTTTCTTTTTTCTTCACTCTCCCTCCTTTGAATGGAACATATGTTCCTATTTCTTTGCATGCCTTTTGATTTTTTTTGTTCAAAATTGGACATTTAAATCTTATGACTTTTCTGGAAATCAGATTCTCCCCTTTTCTAAAGTTTGCTGGTTTGTTTTTGGTTTTTTGATTGCTGTAGGCTATCTTTGTGCTAAAAATCAGCCTATGAGATAACCTTAAAATCTCTGATTCTTTCTATGCCTGCACCTTCCCCAGGTATGCATCGTGACTTTGTGCTTTCCCTCATATATGTGGTTGTTTTTGAATATTTTAATCTTCAGTGTCTGATTCTTGAAAGGGGAAAAAGAGACAAATAAAATTATGGGAGGAGACACTTGCCCTTAAATCTCCTAGGAGTCACTTCAGCCAGAGGGGGAGGGATTTACATTACTTGGGAGAGGCTCAGCAATAATGGGCACTGCCTCTTTGAAACTTCCGTAATCAGAGGTAGCAATCGGAACACAGATTCCCTATATTTGAAGAACAGGGTCCGTTTTGGCTGCCCACTCCCTCCCTACTTTGCCCTGGCTTGTGTGGGCTTTGTGCCAGCTGCTCTAGGAACAAATTATGAAGGATGGGAGTTGGGTAGCTTCAACACTGCTGAGAATTGAAATTGACTGGATTAACCACAGTTTGACATCTGGTAACTTCTGGAAGTTTCAAGCCCTCAATATACTACAGAAGTCCAAAATACTTACGTCACACTGGCAATTGCATTTTGCCAGTACAGTCGTCATCTAGGTGGAGAAGCAAATTTGTGGGACTTTTTATTGTGTCATCATTCCAGAATTCATCATATTTGTTTTTACAGTCAGTTTAACTTATAGTAGTCACTAATGTGTTAGCATTTAACTTTCAATGCTGTGTGTGCCAAATTAGAATCCAAGATGTACTACTCTCTGGAGTTTATGAGTTCTTTATTGGAGAAATACTTGTTTATAATTTAGTAGGGGAGAAAGAGACTGACATTAAACCAATAATATAATGAAACTTCGATAAATGCTAAGGAGGAGAAATACAGTATACAGCATAAAAGCATTTTCTAAACTAATTTTGGCCTGTTTTTAAATAACTAAATCTTAGAATTATTTTTAACACAAGATTTTTAAGATGTAATATTGTTCTCTGAAATTGGATTAGGATGCTGCAGTATGTTAACAGCAGCAGACCTATAAGGCCCTTTATAATGAAATAACATTCTAAAAGTTGGATGATCAAAACTATGTTTCTTAAGTCTTATTATTAATTCTTGGGTCATATTCTTTAGGGTTTGGTTAGTTTCTGTTTCTGGTATATCCTGCCCTTTTCCTATCACCCACCCCCACATTTCTAAGTGAATCATAGGATTTCATTATTGTCTAAGTTGAGACATACACAATGGTATATACTGTTAGTAAGTATAATGGATTAGCAACAGGTTTCTGTGGTTTACAACACAGTTTTTTGTTTTGTTTTTAATATTACTTTACTGAGTTGTCACACAGTCCTTTTGGTTAAAGGCATGTCTCTTTATAGATGGAAGAAATAAGTTTCAATAATTAGTACTTGTGATTTACCTGTATATTCAAAGTCATTGAATGGTAGAGGGAGGTAGAGAGAGATCTAGAATCATGCTTTTTGATGTGTCATTTAAGGTTATTTAAATAACCTTATTTAAATAACTAGTCAACAAGTAACTTTCACATAAATTATCCTCATGTCTTGTTGCTGTTACTTGGTTTCCTCCCTAAGTAAAGCTGGTAATTCCATGTTATCTGTTCTGCTATCTCCCATCCTAGTTATAGATACCAAGGTCTTAAACTAGCCAAATTTGCTACTGTATTTTTTGTTTTAGTGCTCTTTATTTCAGCTATCTGAAAGTAGCAAATTCCGCGGCCAAATTTTTCTGTATCTCTTCTATCTAAAGTACTTGTTCTGGCTTTGGTGTTAAGGTATTGTGTTTTTCTGAGTTGTATATTGTACCCTCCAAGCCCATTGGGCTACCTCATTCCCACCACCTCCATGAGAGGGATGGATTACTACTTTGTCAGATACCATTTCTGTATTCTATAAGAATTTAGAAATCCTCAAGTTAGTAAGTAAAAGTATAAGGTATTTTAAGGTAAATGCTTTAATTGTCTTCCTGCTAACACAGTCTTAAATATTTTTAACATTTTGTTGGCTGAACTTGAGGCCATCAGATCATACCTCTTGAGCTGCATGTACATAGGCTCTTGTTTTAGACTACATTTTGTGATAGGTCTTTTCAAGTTGCTTAATCTGACATTAGTTTTGAATGAAATTCTTTTAATCCTCAATTTGAGTTTCTGTTCAGTTTCAAGTCTATGCTTTCCCTTCAGGTGTGGTCATTCACTCAGATTATTTCTAAGATACATCTACAAATAAACTGATTGTACATATATTAATTGTCTAATCATATTCATTAAACCAAAATTATAAGTTATTTTTACTAGTCTGTATTCTTTTTTCAGAATTGAACTTTAAAATTGAAATTAGTTTTATTATGTGAATGCTAATATCTTAATAACATCTTTAACCCATAGTATTTTACAACTGCCTTCATTATTAACCTCTTACAATTGAGTACTTGACTGAATATAATTGTTTTGTTGTAGTTTATGAAAAAATTCAAAACTGTTCAAATAGAAAGGAAGTAGTACAGTGAACTCCCATGTATACTTATCACCCAACTACAGCAGTCCTCAATTCATGCACTTACATGATCCATAACCCCTCCTTCTCCTAATCTCTCATTGTCATTATTCTATCTTGAAGGAAATTTAACACTTTATATAATTTATATGTATTTCAATACCAGATTTTTATATAACTAGAATCAAAAGGTAACATATACAGTGATGGTGAGTTGGTGATCATGAGCAGCTAGGGTTGTGATAATTTTGGTATAAGTTAGACTTTTGTGAAAGCCAACTTTTTCCACTATATTTTTGGTAATAAAAGAGCAGAGGAAGCCAGATGGTTTTCTTACCATAATTTTTAAAGATTATAGCTTCTTTTGTAAGTTTAAATAGCCTTATTCTTTCTTGCCTTCCTCTGTAATTGCTTAAGCAAAGTAAGGTGAAGTTGTACCATTAATTTTTTAATTTAAAAATATCAATTTGAGATCCCAGTAGTCATTGGGAAATGAATAATTCCTAATGTTCATAAAATTTCAAATGTCTCTCACAAATAGTATTTTTAGCAATCTCACAAGTAGTATTAGGTTTGATTCTCATTGTATCATTGGAAAATAGACTATTATCGTAAGGTAGGGCTGTACATAAAGTAGCTAGTATTATGTTTGTATTTAATACAGTATTGCCTACTCATTTTGTTTGTTTTTTTTTCAGGATTTTTTATTGTTTCAGATGTACAGCAAAGTGATCTAGTTATGTGTATATATATCTTCTTCAGATTATTTTCCATTATAGATTATTTTAATACACTGAATATAGTTCCCTGTGCTTTACTGTAATCCTTGTCCCCACTCATTTTTAACTTGCTGCTTCATGTAGCTTAGATGCATACAGTACAATTATTTATGCAAGCATATTTCTTAAAATTTATTTAAAGGATAGTCATCTTTTTGATTCTCTGAAAATGTCATTTGACTTGGTAATTATATATTTTTAAATATACAAAAGAAAGAATTTTAAGAGGAGTCACATCAGTTTTCTAGTATGTTCCAGTCTGGTTTTCATTTGGTGGTAATTGCATTTTATTTTTAAAATCTTGTTCCACCTTCATAACAAACCCTTTACAGCTTAAGCAGAAAACCAAGCTTTTTTCATCCCAAACTTAATTTATATCTATGTTACTCTGCTTGTGTTTCTGGGGGGGTGGGGAGTGGTTGACCCTTAATTGTTCTGTCCGTGGTCTAGAATAACAGATGAAAAGCAGTAATTGCAGTTGATAACAATTGAGGGCTTTTACATTGAATGTGTTTTCAGTATTCTAATTAAAGTTTATGATGGATTTCTTTGTATGGCTCCTTTCCCCCAGTGTTTAAACTCAGTTCAGTATGAGACAGAATTTTTTTTCTGGGTGATGAAATGTTGGAATCTTCAGGAGATCCTTGAGACTAGAAAAGAAGTGATTGCCAAGAAATTTGGGATGAGTTTTTTGTTATATTAGAAAATATTTGTGAATTTTTTTGAGGAGAATGGTGAACTTCACAAATCTTAACAAAATTGTGTCTGTTGTAGCAGAAATAATCATCCATTTCTCAAATGTAATAGCTGCCTATGTATCTAATTCTTTCCACTGGTGCTCGAAACTGGGAACATTGTTTAACATATGAAAACTTCATATAAAATTATAATTTAAGAAATAGTAAATCTTTCATATGCTTCTAATATTTGTGACCATTAATATGTAATGTGCCAATTTTCCTGTTAAGCCTAATACTTTTACAATTCTTTCTTTAAGGCAAATCCTCCTCCAGTACTGGTTAACACAGACAGCTTGGAAACATCAACTTATGTAAGTTCCATTCATCACCATATATAATTCTGTTTTTCCTGTTCAGGTTTTGATACAGATATAAAAATCACAGCATTATTTTCTCTAATACATTGTACTTACAATGCTCTGTCATTGAGCTGTAATTGATAAAGTAAATGAAACATACTATCCTTTTTTGTTTTTTGTTTTTTCCATGCTCTTACAAAGCAGAAATGTTGAAATAAATTTCATTTTTAAATTAAAATGAATAGCTTTCACTACGGGCTCTGTCTCACCAGTGGTCATTTACACAATGCCATATAATCAGAGAGTCATTTTTGAAGTCTAATTGAGTGACTGTGTTTTTAGTGACCAGGTTTATGTGTTCACAGTTATAACTCTGTAACTTTAAGTTAATTGCTCCTTTTCTCTAAATTTCTTTTGTTAAAAAGTCTTCTTTCTCCTAAAGATAAGTAGCCAGAACAGCAGAATCTTAACATTTTTCGCCCCACCTAAAGTATCTTTGGAGATGTTTAAGTAGAAGTTATACCTGTGCATTTTTAAAAAATCAAATGGTGCATAATTTAATACATTATAAAAATCTTTTTTCTCTCGTTTTTGAACTGTAGTTGATTTTCATCTGTACTTTGAAACATTTTATTTGGCTTTATATTCTGTGTATATTTATATGGATATAGCAAATTTGGGGAGATTTTTGAAAACTTTAAATAATAATACTTAATACAAACCAAAAGTACTCTTCAGTCAGTGTCACCTTTCACACTGATATTGAATACTTAAGAAGAATTTTGTTTGTACTTTTGTCAATATTTTCTTCTTCACATTTTATCCCTTACTTGTTCATTTGTTAAATTATGTTTTGCTTAAGGGAGAGATATTAAATATTTTTATTTTAAAACCCTTCAAACTGGAAGGTTACTATGTAAGAACTAACAGAAAACTCGATCAACAAAGAAAATAAATACACATGCATTTTAGAGATGTCAACAAATTAAAAGCAGGATTAACATACAGACAGCAAACTTAGTTTTTATCACACATTATTCAAAAAATAATTTTCCTGCTAAGCAGAATATATTGGAAGTCTCTAAATCCATTTACTACCCATGTTGAGAAATTCTACTCACAAGGCTCAGCACCTTGTACCTATGGCTAAGATTTATTTATATGTAATAAGTCAGGATCCATAGTCAGATTATAAGGCTGTTTGTCTAGAAGAATACATCTTTAGATTTCCTTGTACAATCTTCCTCCCAAGAGGAAGAGCACTGTTTTCACTTAGCAGTAAAAATGTAGCAACAAGTATTCAGTTTTTCTGCCTAGGGAAGCCCACTATTTGGGCTTCACCACAGTTATTTACTGGTGGTTGTTCACATAGACACCCTCTATCCTGTACATAACAAACTTCCAAACTCGCAGAAGGAAAACAGGTGTTCACCTTAAAGTTCATTGTCTCTGCAAAGTCTTGCCAAGAGTAAACAGCCCTTTCAGTTAGGGAATGGTGAGAACGCTCCCAAAATCAATTTCTCGAATGCCTAATACTCTTCTAGCCAAAGCAGCCTTGGGCCTGATATAGTAACCCTTTTCTCTACATAAGGCAATAAGATAAATTCCATTTTCTTAAGATTTTGTTTCAGAGTTGTTCTACTTTATCATAATTGAAGAACACTGTAAAACATTTAGTAATATTCTTTGTGGCTAATTAGTTTAATTCTGAAATTTAAACTATGTTTTAGAATGGCTTTTAAACTTACTTGTTATTCCTTTGTTGAGTTCTGGTTATTAAATACTAGCTATGAGTTGATGAATAGAAATAAAACTTGCAGCTGTTGCATTATATATCACATCCCCCCCCCCCCCCCGGCTGTTGTCACATTGCTTCCTAAAATTAAGTAGTTAATTGAACAGGTAATGCATATACATTGTATAAAATTCAATATGTACCAAGGTATATCCAATGAAAAGAGAAGAAAAGTGAAGAAAAAATCTTTCTTCACCCCTACTCCTAGTCTTCTTGTTCCTCTTAGTTAAAATGTTAATGTGTGTGTGTGTGTATAGGATATATATTAAAAGAATATGTGTATATATATCCTTTTATAAATATTTTGTATATCACTAAGGATATATGTGTTTTCAAACTTTTCTCATACAAAAATCAATGCCCCACTGATAATTTTTGTATAGATGTTTTGTGTATATATGCAATTATATAATCTGAATATATTTGTATACATAGATTGCTCAAAGGGTGTGTCAACTTTTAGATTTGATCATTATTGCCAAATTATACTTTCTAGCATTATGATTCAACAAAAATTATTATTGTTTTTACCCCATACTGTCACTAGCATGGGGTGTTAATAAATTTTTTGATCCTTTGTTAGCATGTTTGTTACCGTAAAGTATATTAACTCATTGTTTCAACTTGAATTTATATCTCAATTCTTTTTCAGCTTTTTCACCTTAAAATTTTTTTATGTTGTGACATTGACATACCACAAAATCTACCCTTTTAAAGTGTACAATTCAGTGATTTTAGTTTATTCACAGCATTGTGCCATCACTGCCATTTTCAAATTTCATAACATTTTTATCTCCTTTTAAGGAAACCCTATACCCATTAACAGTCACTCCCCATTTTGCCCTTACCTGAGCTCCTTACAGTCACTAATCTACTTTCTGTCACTATGGCTTTGTCTTTTCTGGACTATTCATATAAATAGAATCATACATGTACACCTGAAACCAACACAACTTTGTAAATCAACTGTACTGCAATAAAATTTTTTTAAAAAGGAATCATACAGTAAATGTTTTTTTGTGTCTGGCTTTCACTAGGCATAGTATTGTGAAGTTTCATCTGTGTTGTAGCATGTGTTAGAACTTCATTCATTTTTATGGTCGAATTATTTTTCATTATATGTATGTACTGCTGCTGCTAAGTCACTTCAGTCATGTCCGACTCTGTGCGACCCCATCCCTGGGATTCTCCAGGCAAGAACACTGGAGTGGGTTGCCATTTCCTTCTCCAATGCATAAAAGTGAAAAGTGAAAGTGAAGTCGCTCAGTCATGTCTGACTTTTCGCGACCCCATGGACTGCAGCCTACCAGGCTCCTCCGTCCATGGGATTTTCCAGGCAAGAGTGCTGGAGTGGGATGCCATTGCCTTCTCTGTATGTATGTACTACATTTTGTTTATTCATGCTTCTCTTGATGGGCTTTTGGGTCATTTCCACCTTTTGGCTATTGTGAATAGTGCTGTGGTAAACATTGGCATGGGCATCCCCGGTGGATGAGAGGTAAAGAATCCACCCAGAATCCACCTGCCAATGCAAGAGATGTGGGCTCAATCCGTGGCTTGGGAAGATCCCTTGGAGAGAGAAATGGCAACCCACTCTAGTATTCTTCACTGGGAAATCCCGTGAACAGAGGAGCCTGGTGGGCTCAGTCCATGGGGTCACAGATAGTTGGACTTAATGACTAAACAACAGCAACAGACATTGCATACAGTATCTGGGAATTATTGTCATTTTACTAGTATTATGTCTCTTAGTCCTTGAACATATTGTCTATCCATTCATTTACATCTTCAGTTTTGTTAACAGCGTTTTAAATTTTCAGTGTGTTTGTCTTACACTTTTTAAATTAATTCCTAAGTATTTTATTCTTAATGATATTGTAAATGAAATTGTTTTCTTAATTTTATGTATGGATTTTTCATTGCTAGTGTTTAGGAATATAATGGATTTGGGGTTGTTGATCTATCCTGCAGTGTTAAAACTGAACTCATAAATTAGTTGTTTTTCGTTCTTATTGTAGATTCCTTTGGATTTTCTACATAAGGTCATGTAATATACAAATATTTTCATTTCTTTTCAATAAAGATGCATTTTATTTATTTTTCTTACCTAATTGCCATGGCTGAAACCTCCATTAAAATGTTTCATAGAAATTGCAAGAGCAAGCAATCTTATTTTGTTCATGATCCTTGGGTGAAAGCTTTCACTCTTGTACAATTAAGGATGATGTATTAAACCCAGTGTTAAGTATTAATTGATACTATAAGTTCATTGGCATTGGGTTTGATTCTCTCTCTGAAATCCTATTCTTTTCCTAAATACTAAAATATTAAGCAAAAATTCTACAGGTCTTCCTGGTTCTGGTAATGAGCAGAAATGAAGAAATTTGTTGAAATAATTCCTAACTATTCCTTTGTATTTTCCATAAAAAGTAAAGATTAGGAAAATTCATTTAATTTTACCTTGGTAGCTTTCTTACACAGGGCTTCCCTGGTGGTTCAGATGGTAAAGAATCTGCGGATGTGGGTTTTATCCCTGGGTCAGGAAGATCCCCTGAAGAATGGAATGGCTAACCATTCCAGTATTCTTTTTTTCCCTAATTGATAGATAATTGCTTTACAGTATTGTGTTGGTTTGTGCCATACATCAGCATAAATCCTTTCTTGGTATACACATGTCCCCTCCCTCTTGAACCTCCCTCCCACCTGCCACACCTCTAAGTTGTCACAGAGTACCTGTTTGAGCTCCCTGCATTATACAGCAAATTCCCACTGGCTGTCTCTTTTGCATATGATAATATATGTGTTTCCATGCTACTCTCTCCATTCATCCCACCCACCCTCTCTTTTGCCTGCCCTGGGTCCACCTGTCTGTTCTCTATGTCTGTGTCTCCATTGCTGCCCTGAAAACAGGTTCATCAGTACCATCTTCCTAGATTTCATATATACATGTATTAATATATGATATTTGTCTTTCTCTTTCTTACTTAACTTCACTCTGTATAATAGGCTCTAGGTTTATCCACCTCATTAGAACTGACTCAAATGTGGTGTTTTTGTGGCTGAGTGATATTCCTTTTTGCATTACCCCCCCACCCCAAGAAAAAGAAATGCAAAAAGGCAAAATGGTTGGTTGAGGAGGCCTTACAAATAGATCAGAAAAGAAGAGAAGAGAAAAGCAAAGGAGAAAAGGAAAGATACACCTATCTGAATGCAGAGT